CGAGTTGCAACCAGAGTCACGGAACGGATTAAATTCGTAACTCGAGGTTCCACTGTAAAATGTATTAATGGAGCAGCGCTCGATGAAATTGTTTAAAAGGGTTAATTGTAAAAAAGGGAAACTAAATTGCTAATTCAACAGTATCTCTCCAAGGTGTAAATGTATGTTGGCAAATCTTACTCTGAGGAAAAAGATAATGAAACCCTCAGCGTTAACTTCTGCTACCATAAAATTGATTTCAAAAGTGCCAAAACGAGGTAAAGTAAAAAATGCTGAGAGGTCTAATAAGGAACATTTTTTTTCTCATCCAAATTTGGAAAGGCTATCCTAATGCAAGCTGTTTTGTAAACTACTTTTTAGAATCACATGGTGTATTTCAGAGTGTCTCATAGCTATTGAAGTTCGGTGCATATATTCCGTACTGCTGAGGTTGTAAGGAAACGCTGAAACTCTGCTCCATGTTTGGAATAAGGTGAAGGTGTGAATGTTAAAAAATAATCTGGCTTGTTTCTCAGAACCAGGGAAATGCAGCTGCAATAGTTCCTCCTCCTGCAGGATTCTGGGTCACAAGGAGGACTCCGAGCTCCGTCCCACCGAACAAGCAGGGGCTGAATTCTTCAGAAGAAGAAGTAGATGAACCAAGTGATAACGGTAAAGATAAATGCGGGATGCATCCCTTTCCAACTTGCACTGCTTCAGATGAGAAGCTCACAAAGATCCTATTCTTCAAGCTTAGCTACTTCAAGAGAACTTTAATGAATTATACCAACTCATAATCATTTAAAAAAAAAAAGAGCCTTCTGCCAGGGCTACTGCTTCATCTCCTTTATAAAGCTGGGGATGCTGATTAGGAGACCTGGCATAACATGAATGTTAATAGGTTCAGATGTATCTGTTACCCTCCCAAAATTGATATTACTGTATACCAAATGTTTAAAGTGCTATGTGGTCACAGTCCTTGCATATTTTTCCAAACATTTAGGAAATCACTCTTACTTTGCATTGATTTTATATGTTGATTGATAATTTATGCAGGTGACTTCAAAAAAAAAAAAGGATTGGCAATTAAACTTAGTATAATAATGAGTACAATTTGTCTGGTTTAGATTATATTGGGAACAGATTTCTTCCTTCCAGCAAAATATGCTTTCCTGAAACTTTTGGCACATTTACTTATTTCTGTGGGGGTTTTTATAGATTAGCCAGATACAAATTCAGCGGGGTGTATGACAAATGCTATTACCATATTCCATAACTTAAGACTCCAGTCTTACACAGCCAGATCTTAAGAACTGCTGAACTCTTGTAATCTCCAATAAGATTTGCTAATGGTTGTGCAATTTGGGGATTATGGAATTTGAAGTGTATAAGGTTGGGCATCTGGAAGGCAGGTTTTGAAAAACAGCACGACTCTTCAATGTAAGACTAGATTTTCATCCTTGATCTTGAAGTGTTTACTTTACATGAGATTTATTTCTAATATGTGTCTCTAATGGTGCACTTACCCTCTGCTTTTCCAGGGGAATACCATGAGGATTATCTGTACACTCCTTCAGGTGAGGCTGGAGACCTTCCCAAAATGTCTACTTCAGCATAAATTAATGTTTTGATAGTAAATAGTTATATTGAAGAGCTGCTCCCTTCAACTTCGTATTTCTCCCTACTTTCCAGATCCAGATTGTGAAACAACCACAGTATTTAATGCAACTGAATCTACTGCAAACTTGGTAAGCTTTAATTAAGAGCTGTGAAATTAGCATAGCCAGAACCTGTTAGAACCCCAGCGGAGAGGATGTGGGAGCAATTTCCAGGCTTATAGCTGTTGTGACGGTGGTCTTTGAATTGTGCAAATTTCAACCAATCTGCGCAAAGTAATGAGAATGGTGCTTGTTCTGGTGAGTGTACCAAGCTTTCCAACTTTGTGGTGGCTCAGTTACTAACACTGGAAGACATCTTGGCCAAGGAACCAACTTAGGTTGGCCGTACAGACCACGAACAATCCTGTTTTCTTCTCTCTCCTCACTGCCAGCTTCTCCTGCTCTAAAGATAGCAGCATGGCATCCTTAGCTACCTTTTCATTAAGCGGAACTGGTTGGTTGGGGATTTTTATTTTTGGTCTATCTGTCCTAAAATTGTAGGTTGCCTTTTGTGTCTGGCTTATGGAGCAGAAGATAATTGGGTTTTAACATTTAAAAAAATGGGAGACCCTGTGGGGTTACTGGATTTGTTAGCAATTGTAAGATCTTAATCATGCTACTTTAAAACACTAATTTGTTTCATAGCATTAGCCAGAGGGTTTTTATTTATAGTTAGGAAGGGAAAATTGTTTATCTCATGTATTAAAGGATGTTATATCATCTGTAACAAAGTGTTAAATAATATAAGGATGCTGGAAAGAAGATTGCAAACCACTGTGCCTTATAGGGAAAACAATATAAGTAGTTTTCAACTTACGACTACGGTTGGGACTGGACCTTCCATTGCTAAGCAATGCAGTTGTTAAGTGAATTGCGCCCGATTTTACTACTTTTTTTGCCACAGTCATTAAGCAAATCCAGCTTCTCCTATTTGCCTGTCAGAAGCCCCCTGGGAAGGTCACACATGGCAATCATGTGTCCCTGGAATGCTGCAACTGTTGTTAATTCATGCTGGTTGCCAAGGACTTGAATTTTGATCATGTGACTGCAGGGATGCTGCAGTGGTCATAAGGACAAGGACCGATCATAAGTCACTTTTTTCAGCATCATCATAACTTTGAACACTCATTAAATGAATGGTCGTAAGTTAAGGACTACCTCTTGTCTTTTTATATTTTATTGGTAGAAGATCTGATGTAGCCCGATAAAATATTGGGGTTCTAAGTAACAGAAAAGGCAGAACACCAAACAGAACATGTCTTTTTTCCCCTTAAATATTAATTTACATACTTTATGTGTTATTTATTATTAGTATTTATTATTTGTTAATTCATATTGTCATATGCATTACCAAATCATAGTCCCCTGGCATTATACTCAGACTAATATTTATGAAATCTAGAGAGTGGAAGTCTTCTAATTCCCCCCAAATCCTGGCAGCTTGGTTTTCCATCAGCCTCTTCCAACTGATTTTCCTCCTTTCGGGTTCCTGGCAGCAATGGGTTATTTCCGAGGAGAGGCTGAGTTGCTATTAGCTTAGCTGGAACTAGTTAATGTTGTGTGGAGCAAGACAGTTGCCTTCTTACCATAAGAAAATGGAAATGGTCGTCTGGTCCATGACTACCATAAAAGTTTTGTTGATCTGTCCACTTAGTGTGTTATCTCTACTTTTCTGAATATTTTCTAAAGTTTTCTCTGTTTTGCTGTCTTTGCCAATAAGCGAGGTTCAGTTGTGACCAAGCCTCCAGTGAACCTGATACATCTTGCTCTTCTTCCCCACACATACCTTCCAAAGCTAGCTCACATGATAGATGTATCTAGTTTAGCATGAAAACGTAATCGTTAGGTTGTGACAAAGATGAAGTACTTCTCTATAGTTCAGAGAACTTCACAGTGGCTGCTTATTGATGTATTTTATTGGCCCAGCTTTCCTTGACCTGCTTCCTTCTAGGCAGGCATGCTGTCTGGAAATGATGGGTGTTGAAGTCCAGAATATATGAATGGCACCAGCTTGGGGGAAACAGTGTTACCAAACCATGATTTGGAAGTAGCCGCAAATCAGGACGCAAATCCCTGCCTTGAGGTGGATTTGGATAAAGGGATTCAACAGAAAACAAAGTTCAGGGTTTGGCCCAGAAGATGTAAATTCAAAGACCTAGCCACTTTTACCTCTCTGAACACTCTTTTAATATCTCTTGTTTTTTGTTAACCCAAGTGACCCTTCAATAACATATCATAAAGTTGATTCTCATATCTCTGCCTCTTTCTTTTTTTAAATGAATCCTCTAGTCTCTGCAGGATGCAGGGACAAACTGTGTTGCTCCTCAGGAAGGACCTACTTCCTACAGTTACTCCCAGAAGGTAAATTTCTCTGAGGATATAATTGTATGTCAAGAAGAGTTTAAGTCAAAGTGCCTTGAAGATCCCAAGTGTTTTAGTGAAGCACACATTTTAGCTTAGCTTTGATAAAGGAAAGGAAACATTCAGCTTACTAAAATGTTCCTAAGTGGAAGTTCACTGTAGAATTTCTCCCAAGGTTGTCTCCTAAGTCCAGCATTTAATATGACACTAGAAGAAAATTATTACATTCAAAGGGATTAATCACGCTAATTCTATTGATCATAGTATTTAGTTACTTCCTATGCCATATCATTCAAAGATCAAATGTAGCCTTTGTCCCTTTCTTCCCAGTGGTGTCCCCCAAATCAGCTGCTTCAAAGCTGTATCATTTATACAACCAGGGTGACTTCTTAAAGGCCAGGGTAGTTGAAGGAAAAATGGGAAAGTTGTTAATTATTTGTATCAGATTTCATTGCAAACTATGCTTTGTTACAGCAGGTATCGGTGTAATTCGTGGATGGGTCTGAAAATTCATACTCCTTGGGGGTGACAAAATTTAGAATCTTTTAAATTAAAAAGTCACTTGGCCCATGTGACATTCAGATGAGAGAATTTAGAAGGGAATGTTTGCCCAAGATGTAGGCTGGTAACACTAAACTATAGTTTATGTTTGCACCCAAATTGGGCCATTTATACCAGAGGACCCTTCATACTGCCAAACCCTTTGCTCCCGGGATGCCTTGTGTTTTGTGATTTGAATTTCTCTGTTGGGGGAAAACACACTGATCTTTCTCCCTACTTCTTCATAGGTGATGGTGAATTCCGCCATTATATCCAGCTCTGCTTGTGTTAATACGGCTCCAGCTGCCATCTTTTCCTCCAGCTCCAGTGCTTCAACTCAAGTCAGTAGCACTGCATCCACCCCCCAGAATGCTGTGCCACCGATCTTAGTATCCCCTTCAGTGGGGAGGCCAGGTGGAGTATGGGTTTCATTTGGGTTCTTGCGGCATTTCTGGAGAGGGCTTTGAGTTTATGGTTCCTGGCCACCACATTCTTTTTGAATCAGAATAATTGTGTAGCCCCTGGGTAGTGTTGAAGTGAGTTCACTTTATCTTCTGGAGAAGTCAAATGCTGTTACGTACTTAGGCAATATAGTTACAGGGAAGTCAACTCCTTAGGAATGGAGGCCTTTTAAGGGGCTGGTTATTTTTTTCCCCCCCTTCTGTGGATGCAAAAGGTTTAGTTTCATTCCATATTTTAGAAGACATTTTGCAGGGGCAGAGAGATCAGATCTGGTTGGGATTCTCAATTGGACTTGGATCGTTGATCCAGTTTAAATCATTTTGGGAACATTGAGTGAGATTGCTTAGATTTCCTGAGTGGATTTGATCCAATTCAGAAAGTCAGTTTGATTCAGTTATTTAAATTTCTCCAAATTAAAACTAAATACAGCCCCAGTATTCCACATACATGGATTTGGAAGTGGAGCGAAGAGGACTGGAAGAGCCTGAAATAGGTGTATTGTCAGCGATGCTTTGCCTAGTGGTTTGTGGAACACCCACAGTCAGCCTCAGTTGGGTGTTTTCCTTTGCCTCCACAAAATACCTGCTCCTTCAAGGCTTTTGCCCTATCCCTGAAAAAAGGACACCCAACTGTACAGCACCATTTAGTCAATCTTAGTTGATGGATAAAAGATAAGCAGGGTCAACTCTGGTTAATGTTTGGATGGGAGATCATTAGGGAAGCCAGGGTTGTAGGGGAGATCAAGAAATCCAGAAAATGACTCAGAGCGAGAGAGCAACAAACCATTTTCACATTTCTAGCCAAGATAGGTGGATGACTCTGACTAAGCCTGAGTTGAAGAACCTTTTTACTGAGAAGTAAAGACTAAGAGTATCTTGCAAGGACCTACTAGTCCTTGGACCTGGTCTTTCTCATCCCAGAGAACAAGACACAGAGGAACAGTCTTGTACTACTGCAAGCCAATGTTAGGATCAACTTCCTGCCAATAAAACAGTTTGACACTGGAACCTATTACTGAGAGCAGTGATGGGCTCCCCTTTGTGGGATGTGGGAAGCAGAAGGTGGACATTCATCTTTCGAGGATGGTTTGATTTTGATTTTTGTATTCAGCTCTGGGTTGGACTTGATGGCCACCTTGGTCTCTTCCAACATGTTGTTTCTATGGGTGCGTGCAGAAACTAACAGTACCTACCCAACATCAGTGGGCAACCTTTTGGTGGCCAAGGGCCACGTTTAACACATTTTTACAAGAGCAATGGGCATAGCAGTTAGGTTGATGGTCTGGATTGCTCATATGGGCTGGAATGTCTTTCAGAGGGGAGTTATTTGTTCATTTTAGACCCTTCGTTGCAGTCTTTCTGCTTTTCCCATTTCAACAGGAAAAATAGATGGGCTCCAAGTATTTGAAATTAAACAATAGAACAGCAGCATCTTGGCACACTTTCCAACAATTGTGATGGGAAGGTGCTGTAGGGGCAGCCAAAGGGTCACCTAAATATCTACCCTTTATATGCAGAACTCACACATGCCACACAGTTTCATTCATGACTGATCAATATGGTCACCAAAGCAGTAGGACCAGTATAGTTGAGCTCTGCTGTTCAGGAAGTGGATAAAGTGAAGGCCAGGGAGTGTGGAAGAAGTTTCTTATATCGGAAGTAATAAGTTTTTAATAAGTAAGAAGTTGTTTTTAATGGTTATTTAAGATTTGTTTTTATTTGTTTTACTGTATGCCACCCAGAGTAACATTCATGAGATGGATGGCTATATAAATTGGATGGATGGATGGGCGGATGGATGGGCGGATGGATGGGCGGATGGATGGGCGGATGGATGATGGACGGGTGGGTGGGTAGGTAGATTGATCGAACGATCTTACCATTCAAAATGAAATGTAAAAGGATTCCAACCACTTTGCTGCAACAAGGTTGGAGTCTAGATAAAGGTTAAAATCTGTTTTATGGATTCCACTGCATTCAAGTTCAGATTTAAAATTTCTCTCCCCTCTCTTTAAATAGTTGTAATCCCATCAGTGTATCAGTCACCTCCCCTTCCTCCTGGCAGTGATGTGGGGGAAAGTGGTATTACGCCTCCTTACTCTTGTGATCCCAGTGGAAGTGACCTGCCTAGAGGTAAGAAACCATTTTCTCTTAAGTGCGGGAGTAATTTTAGTCGTGTAAAATGAGTCAGTTCTAGAGATGCTTGTGGAATTGTGTTTTATTACGTGCATTAACCTAGCCTGCACTATCCAGATTAAAGTGCAAAGTGGGACTTCATCATCTAGTAGATTTTGAATGCCAGAAACTTCTGGTTCAGTTTTTTTAGCTTGGAGAAATGCTTCAATATATTTAAAGGGATATTTTTGTAAGAATATATGTTTAAAATATGTAGTCGTATGAAATGTGTCTTTGCTTAACTGCTGCAACGATGGAAACAGAATCATGGATGTATCCAGATGTTAGGAGTACAGATTGGAATAGGCCAACTGCTTCATTTTCAGGAGGGGTCACTCTAAGCCTGGTGTTAGCGCTATCTGAATTTCCCTGGTGTAAGAAATTATACCTTAATCACATCTACAGGAGGAGCAGGTTAAGAAAATGAACTCTAAATTGTATGGTTCCTCCTTTTCAAAATCTACTAGAAGGAAAAGAGAGAAGCTGGAAAATAACGGCCTCTTCTGCAAGGAAAATTAGTTTTAATGGGAACTCCGTGACTTGGAGTTGTCATTTGATTATGGTTTGCAAACAGTGGGGTACAGATAGTTCTTGGGTTACAACCATTTGTTCAGTGACTGTTCAAAGTTACCACAGCGCTGAACTAACGGTACTTACGACCAGTCCTCAGAGTTCCGGCCGTCTCAGTGTCCCCACAGTCATGTGATTGTGATTTCCCATGTTGCCTGCTAGCTTCCCACAAGCAAAGTCAATGGGGAAGCTGGCAGGAAGTCAGAAGTCACGATCACATGAAGCCCTCACTTAACATCTCTGTGATCCTCGCTTAACTACAGCAGTAGGGTTATGTGATATCGTGCTTTACAACCGCATCGCTTAAGGACAGCAATTCTGGTTCCAATTGCCATTGTAAGCCGAGGACTGCTGTACAGGGTGGGTCAGGAATTGGCTGTAATCAGAATAAATTGGAAGCCAGCTATAGAACTGTCTTCTTGCACTGATTCTGTATTTGCAAATAGAATGTATGTTGTGCACTGTAAGCTTGCTGTAATGCTCCTTGATTACTAACTCTGTTGTGCTGTGTGAAGAATTTTTTGCTCAGAAATGGGAAGCAAATTAATATGGGCCAGATGTGCTTTTATTAGTGCATATGCACGAATTCATTCATTCATTCATTCATTCATTCATTCATTCATTCATTCATTCATTCATTCATTCTGTAACTGAAATAACTTCACTGTTTGCAGAAGATTAAGTTGCTAATGGTGTCTTCCTGTGAGAGACATTTTTTCTCAGGAGCGTGCAATATCCTATTTCAGGAAAGGACAGGTTGAAGGGGACAGCATTTTTGGAAGCTGTATCTCTGATACTTTGATCTCATTCATCACAAGCTAATGCAATTGTTTAAAATCCATGCAATTTTTAATCTGGGACTTTTTTCCCTTGATTTCCAAATACTGAAAGAAAAAAAAAAGATATTTCTTTCTGGTTTAGTATTGTTACGGCGTGTATTCCACGGAAAAATCAATAAATTACACATATGGCTTAAATTATTTAGCATCTCAAATTTATTTCTTTTGCTTTCTTTTATAGTTTTCTTGTCTGTAGTTTAATTGAGCCTGCGGCTGCAGATTTTCAGTACTGAGGAAAGACCTGTTTTGCTGTTTTTAGAAGGTTAAAAGGTTTTTTTTTTTTAAAAAAAAAAGTATTTTAACTGCTGTGGTTTAACTTTAAACCCAAATGTTTTCCTATCGGCTTTCCCCTATGTAATATTTGTCTTTTTTTAGTGGATTGATTGATTTTTGTGCTGCTATTATTTATTTACTTACTTATTTATTTATATTTATTTATTTGTCGAATTTGTCACTGCCCATCTCATTGAACGACTCTGGGCAGTTTTCATTCTTGTAAACTGCTTTGGGTCTTTTATGAAAAGGAGCACGCATTTTAATAATGTCATTCGATTTAAATATAGGAAATCGCAGAATTCCACTTGATGCCTGTTCTACTTAAATTATTTTTTCACCTGAATTCAGATTGTATAAACGGTCACCCTTCCCAGAGGGTTTTTTTTTTTTTTTTTTTAATTGATGCTGAAATTTTAAATATTTCTGGTTGCCA